ATTCATCGATTTGAAAAATAAATCTCTTTATAAATAATTAAATTATTCACAAATGTGACCAACAATTAGATACAAACATAACTATAAAAATCTAAGAATAATGTATTCTACACATAACTAATCAGTTCATATAATTGTATAAATAAAACATATTGTATAATATTATAAATATTTTTATAAAACTATTGCATTCACCGTTTTTTTTCTAATGTTTACTATTATATCTATCGCGATGAGAAACAATGAAATAATTCTCAAATTATCATATCTTATCCGTACTTAATGTAATAAGTTTTTCATTCTTTATATAAAATGAAATCTTCGACAATAACAAGTTTAATCATAGTTACCCAAGCAACCCATCGATTGCTCTATTGTGTCATTTTTGAAATAAAAATACGGAATATCATACAATAGAATAAAATAGAATATGCAAACATTTCCAGTAGCTATATTAACCGTAATGACAGTTTTGGATCTGAATTCAACTAAAAAAGATAAATTTCGGAGTATTATTTCGTTGTTTATTTGGATTATAAACATTATTTATTTTATTATTTTCTTTTTAAGCTTTTATAAGAATTCATATTTTATTTCATAGCAATCGGTAAAGAAATTTCCTTTTACTAAAAGTGCTTCAAATGGAATGAAAGAACATTTTTAATATTCAACGCTTACTTTCGTATAATACATTAGAATACTGATTTATGAAGTAAAAATAGGTTAGCACGTCAATCCACAAACTTTATTTTTTATTTGTTCTGCTTCGCTCTAATGAATATCATATTTCATGATTATATTTTAATATTTTGCTCCTAATGAATTCTTTTTCTGATTAACTAATCCATAATATTATTCATACATTTATTTATAGACAAAGATATACAAATGAATAGGCTCATATAAATGCAAGATAATATCAAAAATAATTTATTCTTTATCATTACAATGTGAATTATTAATTATAGTGGCTCCTTTCATTTTATAACAAAGTAAAATATAAAAATAGAATGCATTATCTTGATTCAAAGCTCCATATTAATTATGTGAGCTATAATATTATAATTAATAAGTTAATGCATTTAGATGTATGGCATAATGGTGCTCTTTCATCAAAAAAAAGAAAGATTCATTTTATTTTATTATTATAGCAGTTACACAGTCCGATTAATATGTCAGCAACATTTATATCTTCACTTAACTTTGCTGGAAGACAAATAGTTATCTATGGTGGTATATTCGTCTTTATAGTTGGTATACTTGGTGGACTTTTCAATACAATTGTATTTCTTAGTCTTCGAACATTTCGACAGAGTTCCTGCGCTTTCTATTTAACCATTATGTCCATAATGAATATTGTACAATTACTTACTACAACATTATCACGTATTATAAGCAATGTATATAATAATGATGGAACTGATGCCTCATTATTTTATTGTAAATTCCGCTTTTATCTTCCTGTAGTTTGCATTATAATATCATTAACATGTTTTTGTTTGGCTACATTTGATCAATATTGTGCAACATCTTCTCGATTATATCTACAACAATTATGTAATATTAAACTAGCTCGACGTCTAGTTATGATATTTTCTTTAATTTGGATATTACATGGTGTTCCATTTTTGATTTTATTTGAGCATGTGTCGTCACCCATAACAGGCAAAATTACTTGCACTTTGACAAATGTCATATATATGCAATATCGGGCATATGTTATTTTTCTTCTTTTCTTCAGTTTGTTACCATTGTTAGTTGGAACAATATTTGGATCAATGGCTTATTATAATACTCAACAACTAGCTCATTACACCTTACCCCTTATCCGACGTGAATTAGACAAACAACTAACAACTATGGTTCTAGTGCAAGTTGCCGTTAGTTTCTTCGTTCTTTTACCATACTGTATCGTATATATTTTAACATTAAATACAAGTCTTAATAGTGATCCAATTGTTAAAGCAGAAATTCAATTGAGTTCTAATATAACTGTCATAATTTATTATTTATATTTTGCAGTAAATATTGATTTATAATATTTCATTATTTGTTTTCTAT